CAATTTGTGAAACTGCTGCAAACTTAGAAAACGAATGTGCGTGGTGCTGAGGCCAGAGCCACATTTTGAAAAGGAACCGCTTTCAATCCGTGAAACTCTTGCAAGTAAAAAAACGAATATGCGCGGCGCTACGGCGAGAGTCACACTTTGAAAAGCGACCCGCCCTCAATCCGTGAAACTCTTGTGATTTTTAAAAGCGAATGTGCGCGGCGCTGAGGCTCCCTTCTCCTCCTCCTCCTTCACCCTGAATCTCTCCTCCTCAGTCGCTCCGTTCCTCCGTTCCTCCTTTTCTGGTCTTCTTCCTCATGCCTTCGCCTCCTCCTCCTCCTCCTCCTCCTCTTCCATTCTTCAGGCGACGACGACGACGACGACCAGGGGAGGGGCTTTGAGGTGATGAAGCTTCGCATGCCGCACCCCGTCACCAGCGACATCATCGACTGGTCCGACCGGCGCCACCAGAGCGTGAGCCGCGCGCGGAAGATCCGGTATGCGCGGGCGGACTCGCTGGAGGGGTGGGTGGGGACGGGGCGGAAGCAGGTGGAGAAGGAGGAGATGGCGTGTGTGTGTGTGTGAGAGAGAGAGAGTGTTTGTGCCCCCAACGATGGCTGGCACGAGGATGAGCAGATGGAGGCCATGAGAGACGCCACCGGGGCCAAAGCCATGGGCAAGGCCACCGCGCGCGCAGACGATCGGGCACGCCCAGCTCTCCGCTGGGAGGAGAGCTGCGCTGCGGAACTGCCACGTGGCCTCGCTTGCCCCCTACCCTCCGTCATTTCGTCCCCCGCAGCCCCGAACTGGAGGTGCTCGCGCGCTCCCGCTTGAGGGTCGCCCTCGGGATCGCTGGTACCTTCGGAGGAACTCCTTATCTCGCCACAGAACGTGTGATGGGTGCGGCCAAATGGGCGGGTAACCGCATGTGGACCTTGCCACCGGGGCCTTTGGTGGAGCTTCCTACGGGGCCACAGCGCTGTATCGGGTGTGAAGCGAGGACCCAATTTCACAGGATGGGTGGGACAAACAAGTGTGTGCGTGTGACGAGGAACGCGTAGAAGCAGCACGCCAGACTCTCTCGTTTCCGGCGTCCTCAAGAGGGCCGGCGGGGATTTCCAGAGACTTTTGTTGACTTATGGAGACCTCTGGATGCGCACCGTCAGGTGAGTTTCTGGCACTGGCCTTGCTAGCAGAGCGCACGTTTCGTGATTTAGATATGAGTCGTAGACGCATGGTCTGTCCCACTTGACGCCTGGGACCAGTCACGCAAACTTGTGGCATCGCTTATGGGCCCAGTTAGATATTGGTCCAGGGACGCTCAGGGTCTTGAACATACAGTTGCACCAAGGGTCAGCGCCCACTGGCAGGGAGGGCAGCCTCGGGTTTCGTCCCAACGAGCGGTCAGACGAGCTCACCGACTTGTGTGCGAAACAGGCGCGACTGTCAACAGATGTGCGAAGGCAGATCGACCATTTGGACCAGGAGACCTGGAAGGTCCAACGCTGCTTGCTCAAAGTCGTGATGAAGAGTATCAGTCTTTGTGCGGCCCAGTGGGCAGTAAGACCCGCAATGACCAGTGACGCAACGCCGCGCAACAAGCTGCCCAGAGCGACACACGGACTAGGTTAGAGACGTAGCACCAGTTGGGCACAGGTCGAGATAGATGCGCGAAGTGTTCGGGGAAGCCTGGAGCAGGAGTGGGGTGCATACAGTGGTTGCAATTCCCTTTCCAGGAATTCCAACGACCTTCCACCCAGAGCACGCCCTCCAACAACACGGGGAAATGTGGGTTTGCACCAAATGAAAGTGCGAGTGAAGCAGGAAGGCTCGCAGATCTTTGCGGTAATCGTCCCAACAAAGGCACAATGAAGGTCCACCAAAATAGTTGGGAGGACAGGTTGCCCAACGGGTACCCTAACTGGCCGGAGCTCGATGGAGCATGTGCCCTAGAGATAATTCGTGATCTCTGTCTCGCAGGTTCTGCGCCAGTATTTTCACATTCGTCCTCAGATGTGGCATTCAGATGCTAGCCAGAGAATTGCCACCAGCGAGGCGTTGTCATTTGGCACAGTAAGGGTGAACTGGTGAACTGGCTGTGGTGGTGGTGGTGGTTTTGGATTAGTGTGAGGAGGAGGTCTCCAGCTGTCTCAATGACACATGAAGGTCTCCAGCGGCACCTCGAGGCCTGGACAGAGGCGAACACCACTAAGAGCCTCGATCCTCGAGGCGAGGGGGAGGGAGAAGAAGGGAGGAGGAGGAGCAGGAGGAGGAGCAGGAGGAGGGGGAGGGGGGGGGGAGGAGGGAAGGAGCAGACCAGGGAGGAGGGCGAGCTGGACGAGAGGACGGACCAGAACAAGCGCCCAGGCTGCATCGACGATCCCGCACTGCGCCGTCCCGTGCCGGAGCCCCCTCTCCCCACGAGTCCCTGCGGGTGGCCCGCGGCCTGCCACGCGGGCGAGAGAGGCCTCATGCTGCAGGGGATCCGCCAGGGGGGCTCCGCCCTCCATCCTCGCGAACATCTGGAGGGGAAAGAACACACAGACACAATTAATCGTCGATTCCCAGGAAGATATGGGAAAATATGGGAAGTGGGGGGGAAGACAAACTCCCAGACAATATGGGGAATATAGGGAATCCTGTTATTTGTGTGTATTTATTTGTGTGTCCAGGGGCCCCTTTAGAACAGTGCGCTTGAACAAGCTTGGGATACGACGACCAGGGGGGAGGGAGGAGCCCAGCTGGAGCACGGCTTTCCACAGGGCGTGCCTCCTTCCATCCGTGCAGGAGCTGCGCGATGTCAGAAGCTCCGCCGATGAAGCTCGTGGGGCTCTCATGCGGATGTCCCACTTTGAAGGAATCGTTGGTCCCGGACATATTCTTACCCAGGGTCGGCCTGGGTGAAAAAAGGGCCGTCCGCTCGATTGGGCGCTTGCCACTGCGCCCGATCAGCCTGCCGCGTGCGCGCTGGTTCAGCATCCACGCGTCAGGACGCAACGACACGCTGAATGGCTGGTTGTTTGATTGCAGCGACAAGCCCTGGTTGACGTCATGGACATCTGGGGGCATCGGGGGTTCCGCGGGGTTTCGAACAGCCTTGGAGTTGTGGTGCCTGTCCCACTTGGGGACAGGCACCACCACTCCGTCGCGTTTGTGCCTGCCCGCAGGCGCGTCGTTGCAATCTCACGCTCCCCCAGGGGCCGCTGCGGCCACGTTCGGGAGAGCTCTCGGGGACCGCGCGTGCGCCCGCGAGCGAGTTCGGCCAAACGCCACCTCAACTAGGTACGGGTCTGTCTGCGGGGGTACCATCAACGCGCGTCGGCGACGGTATCTCCCGACACGTAGCCAGACCTCGCTGGGGTGACGCCAGGCGGGTTTTCCAGGGAGCATGCCCTTTGGCGACCGCACCTGGCGTTCGGAGGCCCAGGCGTTTGGGGCGAGCGTGGGGTTGCAGCGGCGCGCGCCCAGGACGCCCAGGGCGCATGTTGCGCGTCGAGCCCCAAACGCTTGGTTGTGCGCTTCCGTGGGCGCACCTCTGAACGAGCTGGTGTAGCCCGGGAGCGACGAATGCGTGGTCGGCCACTCTGCCGATTGGAACGCGCGCGCTTTCGGCACCGGCGGATGCTCGGAGAAGACAGCGTCCTGTAATGTTCCATGGGCCGGCGCATCTGCACTTGTGCAACCGTCGTCGGCTGCGGCGTGTCGCTTCCCCCGCCCTGTGCCACCCCGCCTGGGTAAGGGTACGGGTATCTTTCGCGCTCGAGAAAGAAGGATGCGGAGCTGCAGCGTCGTTGTGATTTTCCAGCCGCAGAATTTGAGGAAGTGTCAAGCGAGAGCCGCATTTCGAAAACAAGCGGGACTCCATCCTTGTAGTTGTCTTCGCCCTTGAAACACAAGTACGCGGCGCCACGGGGCCTCATTTTGAGACCACGGGCCCTCCACCCTTGTAGCTGTTGGGGCCTTGTAAAAAATGAGTCTCCATCCTTGTGACCGTGGGAAATTTTGAGCATCAGGTAGTAAGTAGTATGGAAGCCTGAAGCGAAACGTCCAGCCAGGCCCACGGGCGAGTCTGGTTGTGCAACGGGGGAGCTACGTAGCCACATGGAAGAGGGATCGAGGATGACGAGCCGGAGGAGTGAGGGAGGGACTGATGGTGGACGACGACGGCAGCGACGGCGACGGCGGCTGCGACGACGGCGGTGGCGACGGAGGCCTCAACGACGACGGCGGTGGCGGGCAGGACAAAAACGCTGCCTTCGAGCTGCCCATGCTGGCGCCCGCGGATTTCGGCACCACCGCATTCCGGTCGCGAGCACAGGCCCCTTTGGGGCGCTGGGAGCGCCCTGCTCACCGAGGGGTGTACGGGGAGGGGCGGGTGGGGAAGACGTGGTCGGTATCGCTGAACCAATCCCATTCCCATCCCCATTCCCTTCGAGACCCCCACCAAATTACCACCCCTCGAAACCCGAAGGGAACGGCCTATATCCCCATCTGGGGGGGGAAGTCGGCCAGTGGGGCCCAGGCCACGCCGCTGGGGGTGGGGATCGGTTAAACGATATTCACGTGGGGGGGACGGGGGAGGGAGGCACCCGTGCGAGCGGAAAACCGACCCGGGTGAATTGGCCCGGAGGCGCCTCGAAGAGCACCGGCATTAGTGGAGCCGGATCCAGCCCGAATCAGCAGGTTCCCACTCGAGTCTGATCGAGCCCCAGTGGGATTTCACCGGAGCTGGATCCAGTCCTGGTGGGATTCGACGAGACCTCGAGGCCGACGCCAAAGTTGAAACGCACGGAAAACAAGAGAAGGGTACATTTTGCAGGCTCGGTTCGCAGCACATCGTTGAGCGGTGCTACGCGCCCCCTTCCGAGCACAACCCCCTCCCCATTGGAGTAGCAGCCAGACAATGAGGGGAGCGGGAGGGAAGGGCAGGGGAGGGGGAGGGGAGGGGAGGGGAGAATGGGGATGCCGGGATTCAGTGGGTGGAAACGCGGAGGGGAAGGGAGGAGGAGGAG